TTAAAACATTAAAAAATGTGAGAAGAGCGCCTTCTAAGAACAACATTAAGCGTTTATACGAACAATTTTCGACTGATAAGGCTCTTTCTAATCCGAAGAGGTCATATAAAAGTCGATCAGGGCGATCGGCCGAGAATATCGCTGCCGTACGAGCCAGTGTTGAGAGGTCCCCAAAAACATCCCAAAAAACGCCGTTCTCAGCAGTTGGGCATGGCTCGGTCCACTTTACAACGGATTATTCGCATTGATTTGCATTTGTTCCCGTACAAAATTCAATTGACGCAAAGAATGTTGCCTGCGGACAAGCCTCGTCGATTGCAATGGGCCCAAAGAGTCATGGGTCCGTCGAATATGGGCAACCCTGTATGTCTGTGGCGGCATTCCATCTAAATCCTAAATTTTTTGCAATACTCTTATTTTTAAAATCTAGGAATTCTTCATTGAGTAGGTGGTCAATGGGAAAATCTTCGATCACCTCTTTGTAATTGGATATCCATTTTCGTAGATGGAATCCGGCAGACTTTAATACATCTTGGGCCAGTTGTAGTAATGTGCGAATCGCTAAATAGGGGACACATTTGAGACCGAAAGTAACTGTTTTTTTTTTATTATCCTTAATTTCCTCATCCGGGGAAGAAACATATAGGATTCGTTTTAAGGTGGTGTGATTTGGATTTATTAATATATGTCTGTACAACTTCGATATGTCTGTGTTGAAGACATATTTGTAAATGCGCCATTTCAAAATTAACAAAATAATATCATTTTGTAGGACAGGATCCACATACAATAAGTCATTAAGACTTTTGCCAGACGCTATTGGACAAGATCCATTGAAAACTACACTGAATTTTGTTGTGGCACTTTCACGCTTATATACGAGGTGATGAGAAAAATTAAACACGGGACAGAATTTAATGCTGGTTGCTTAACTATTTCCATATGTCCCAGGGACAGATATTCTTGTATATATACATTGTTTTGAATTGTGGCTTTCTAGACATTATCTGTTTCTTTCGTAGAAACTGTGAAAGCGCTGTATATCTATTTGCGGAAAGAACCGATTTTAACGGCACTTTTAATTGACAAATCTACAATATACTCTCCATCAGCATTTATTTTTACTGTGTTTAAATATATCCATATCTGGACACACTTGTAATGAGAAAGGACAATAAAATAGAAATGAACTGGTATCAAAAACCGACGGCATCGAGTCGCATATTAAATTTCCACTCGAAACATCCAAAACAAATGATTATTAACACAGGTAGGAATCTTATAAACAGAATATTGAATATTAGCGACCATAAATTCCACGAAACTAATAAAAACAAAATACGAAAAATACTGTCCAAAAACTGTTTTCCAAAATTATTAATTGAAAAATTAATAAATGAATATAATATACCGAAATCTAAGGACAAATCTCAAGAAAAATATTACAGATCAATGATTTATATTCCTGGATTATCTGAGAGATTCCAAAATTCCGATTTATATGACAAGGATAAACTGCAAATAGCAACACGGACAAACAATACACTAAAAAGTTTATTTACTAATACCAAAAGTAGAATTCCGTTAAGTGAGAGACACAATGTAATATATAGCATTGAATGTGATGGAACAAAAGACGAAAAATGTGGAAAAATATATGTTGGTACCACAAAAAACAAATTAAAAACAAGAATATCGGGACATAAATCAGACATTAAATTAAGGAGCCAAAACAATATTCAAAAAACAGCACTTGCGGAACACTGTAAACTTAACAACCACATACCAAACTTTGACAAAATACGAGTATTACAGGCGGAGAACAACTACAACAGAAGGTTAACATTGGAGATGCTGCATATAAATAACATACCAACAAACAAAAAGATCAATTACAAAAGCGACACCGATAATGCAGCTTATTGTTATCGACACTTGACAAAGAAGAGATCGTGCAATACGTAGAAATAATCAGTGCAATAATAACACCAGACAATGGTAGTAAAAACTACATTAGCTGTTAAGTAAATCTGACAATTTTATGTAAATGTAAGAAATCTCTTTTTTGGAAAATAATTGTGCCCATAACAAAATGCTGTGATACTAATAATTATGTTTTCTAAAATAGATTGCCCCTGAAGATGCAATTTGATAATTGCGAAATATTGGGAACATATTATTGTAATCAATAAAATAAATCCGAAAATGGCCTAAAGCTCGAAAAAATCTTATTATTTATAAATCAAATAAAAAGGCCGATAAACAACCATTTCTCAAGTGTTTAAATATATATTTTCACAAATTCTGCCATCCTCTGAGAATTTAGGGTTGCTTGGACTTCCTACAATCGGGCCTATTGTCTTTCGATAGACACTCTCTTGCACTGCGAAGCGCTAATTGCATGTGTCGCTGCTCTATTGTTTGTTGGTCCAGTCACGATCCACCCAAAGACCGTTTCCTGGGTTACCACCGATCCAAGTATACCATACATACCTGGTAGGGTATGTTATAATATTATCGATCTATGTACTTGACTTTTTGGTTCCTTGCTGGAATATATTTGGACGGTGTAAGAGCGTGTGATGTTTCAAATTGCAATCCGAGCAACTATTTTTAGTTTTGCAATTCGCTACCATGTGACCATGAGCTAGACAATCAAGGCAATGTTTGTCTAGTTCAACAATGGATATCCTATTCCTAAAAAACCATTCTTAAAAACATGACATGACCGCAAAATATGGTTTTCCTTACACGTATTGCCTTTAGAACTATACACCTTGATGTGGTGGATTTTATAATTTTTAGAAAGTTCAAGGTTTTGGTATTTCTGCTGAGACAGATATCTATTTTGTATAATTTGAGAACGGAAATTGCGTTATTTATATCTCTTGGGGTTTTTTCAAAGAACTTGCAGATACCTGGGAACATTGGGAAGATTAAGTACAATTTTTAATTGATTATTAATAAGGATACGTTTATTTTAATTGGTTTTTAAGTTTTTTCCCGCGAAATTTCAAAACCCTCATCTGCCGAGATTCTCCACTCGTTTTTTTGAACAGATGGTATAATTTTTGGACGGGACTGATCTTTTTATTTTTTACATAGACTGTCATAAATAAATCACGAAAACTCGGCCAATTCAGATAATATCCGTGAAATACTTCTGTGTCACAAGGCGGAACAGAAATTGAAGAACTAATATTTTGATTTGTATTTGATCTTGAGGCTTTTTTGCTGTCTTTAGCATCTTCTATCAGGGAGAGGCATTTCAAATATATTATTTCTTTTTCGGTTTTTATGTTTATACCCTACATCACAAGGTGGTCAGGGTCACATGGGGTCGATCAAATTGGGCAAACTTAGTTTAAGGCCTAATTTGGTCGTATGTGCAAAATTCCATACTATTTGGGCAGATGTTACACATTTGCTTATGGAAGCTATATCTAAATTTTGACCGATTATCTCCTACTTCAATAGGGTTCGAACTTGGGCCAAACAAATGATTTATGCAAAATTTCATCTTGATTGAGCAATAAATACGACCTATACTTTGTTTACAAAAATACATGGACAGACGGAGAGACAGACAGACGGACGGACGGACATACATAAATCGACTCAGAATGTGATTCTATGCAGACTTGGTGTAGCCCCATATTGCTAAAATTTTAATTATAGGTCCATGTTTTTGCATAGTCCCTCTAGAAATTTTGAAAATTTGTTTCACACTTTTTAATGGAATTGATTAAAATTGCTTGCAACGAATATAAATAAATAATATAGATTTACTTTGTAAAGCAGTACATAAGAATAAAATGAAATGAATGAGATCAGTTTCTCACCAACTTCTGCGCTGCTTGAATGCAGAACCTTTCTTATTTTTCAGTCATTCGCAAAAATATGACCTGAACGATTTTGTGAAAGAATGGTTCGTGCAAGCCGTACCTGACAACCACAACGAACAGTGAAAAAACTATGCAGAAATCGAGTTCTTTAGATGCGGCCGAGAAAAATCCATCAATTTGAAAAACAAAATCATTATCCGAAGTTTTGTGGACGTCTCGAATATTGGAATACGTCCTATGAATTTCTTCGTATTCTGATCCAGGAAGATGAATACTCGGACGATTTAGAGAAGATGATTAGTTTAATGCTAGCTTTGAGAGATGATGCACTACAAATTGTACCAAATATGCCACAGACAAGCACTGGATATGAAACGGCTTTAGAAACATTGCAACAAAGGTACGGCAACATAAGAAGCCTATTCACGCATTATTTAGACAAAATCTTTTATCATCATCAATATAAATGGGTCATCATCGTACAACATCCAACAATTGTTATACACATCCGTAGAATGCATATAAGGAATCAAAGCGATCCAATTCTTACACACCTTATATTCCGAAAATAGTACAAAGAGCTAGAGGAGAGAGCTGTGTGCAAGCATTTCTGGTCTTCAACGATTAATATTCCGGAGGTACGCCTAGAAATGAAAGTATCCCACTCATTTGTCTGAAAATTAATATTTTGTCTGAAAATTGGTATTTGTAGGTCATAATGGGTCTTAGTTCGTGTGCAAAATATTGTATGTATGGGTCCACGCTTTGGTATAGCCCCCATATAAAGGTACCTCCCGCTTTGTGATATTTTGATGATTTTTGTCACATTTTTTCACAGATTTGTCTAAAAATTGGTATTTGTGGGTTATAATGGGTTCTAATATTTCCTTTATCCTAAGGTGGAGGGTATAAAAGTTCGTTTCGGCCCAACATAATGTTTTTTTTTACTTGTTATCTACGGTCTGGTTGTTCAATCGTATTAGGAAGACATGTCTATTGGTTCCCCATTTGGCATAGCCGAAATTTAAAAGTAGTATGCTCTAATGAAAATTGATTTTTTTGACTTTATAATATATATATATATATATATATATATACAGTCTTACATAAAATTGATAATGACCGATTAATTGCTTATGTTGTTACATCACTTACCTTTGATCTGCTTCAAAATTGGTTTTCCAAGGTCTAGCCATTGCTGAAATGATAAAACAGTTCAAAAGCTCCTATTTATTTTGAAATTGAGAAGCAAACGTTTATATAATATTAAAATATGTTGAATATTTTCTGCGTTTTGTCTGCAGATATTTGTTCAACTGGAAGACGACTGTTGCTGTTGAGTGCTTTATTGCTAGTGAAACTTTTTTCTACTTACACACTACACATGACACCTTAACGCTTAGAACTAATCTACAAGGGTGTAGGAGTTACACAATAACTAAATAACTTTTTATTTACATTAAGAACAAAATTTTGTAAACACATAACAAAAATGACTTCAATACACACAGAATTAAATCAATAAATGTCACTTATAATTTCATATTTACATTCACGAGTCATAAATTTTCCTGCATAAAATTTCCTCACAAGGGCTCGACAATAGTTGACCTAACTGTTCTTCTTTTAAGAAAAACATTCGCTTCTTTATGTTGTTGTGTCAGAGTGCTCACCCCTTTCTGTTTATCGTAACGGCAACTTGTTGTTTTATTTGCTCGAAACAAATTCGAACCTCGATCATCTGCTTGTTTATGTGAGCTCTCCTCTATTCGACGACCGTAACGGGATTTTATTATATTTGTTGTTGCGGTAGCCAGAAACAAATTCTCACTTGGCTCCATGTGCAAAAACAAATTTCCGACCCTTCTTGCTGTCAGCACTGTTTTTCCTCGCTTACTATTCTGGCACATTTTTCTCCAAATATTACATCATCTTTTACAGCTACTCTGCCAACCAAATTACATTGTAGATCAGGCACAAACAACACATCACTTAACTCGATGTCCCCTTCGTTAATAAGCACTCTCCCCATTCCCTTGGCTTCTATTGCCTGCTTGTCAGCTGGGGAGATCTTTTCAAGATGATGGTCAAAAGTCGTAAACACATTACGATCGCAGTATAAGTGTGATGATGCACCGCTATCCAAACACCAAATGTTCTTGATTACATTGTTGTTGTTGATCATAGATCGAACGGTGTATGTTGTCTTTTATGAAGCGACCATAACCAATTTGGATTTATTTAATAAACATCGTCATTCCTTCAAGTTTATGTGCTTGTAAGGAGAATTTTAAGGACTGTAAGTTTCAGTTCAAATTTATGTGTTTGAAGTGAATCCCACTAGGTCCGATTTATATTAACAATTTTTGGTGACCCCGACGTGATCGTTTACACACATCCTTTTGCCCCACAAGTGGTAAAGGATTTTGATCGTAATACGCGTTCGTTTACACACCTCCTTTTACCCCACAAGTGGTAAAGGATTTGAATCGTAATACGCGTTCGTTTACAAACATCCTTTTACCCCACAAGTGGTAAAAGAGGATGATCGTGATATGTGTCGTTATACACACGCATCTTGTACACAAATTACTTTGGAAAAAATTTAAATATCAACAATGGCATCGCTTCAAGATCTTGTCCAACAAGAAGTATGGGGCACTAATTTCAAAAAATTCATAGCGACAATTAAGAAGGCACCGCTTGAAAGAAGAACTGAGGATTTCTACATTGGCAAGCGTAAGAGCAGCTTAGGCAGACGTTTGAAACGGCAGAAAACCAGATCCGCAAAGATCCATCATTGGCAGAGGATGATCCGTATATAGCGGAGAATCTGCACCAGGCCATAGGAGAAAAGTGCAATGCAACAGTGGACTATATAAAGGCGGAGTTGGGGAAGCTGAAGTCTGCCAAGGTCAATCCAGATAAACCCGCAAAGGCAAGATCGCCAGAAAATGATTCAGAACCACAAGCATCAGCCCAGGTTAAGGAACCTGCGCCGGCTCAAGTTGAGGGACTGACCCGAATGATAAAGGCGAGAATGATAGCCCTCGGTCGCCTTCTGCAGAGTTTGGAAAATATAGAGACAGGACAGTCAAACCAAGTCTATGTGATAAAAGAAGAGTCGATTAAAGGGCTGTGGAGTCAAATTAAAGGCCTGTACGATGAAATTTGGCAACAGGTCGAGGATCCTTCGAGAATCGGGCTGAATCAAGACAACTACGATAGCCTAGAAGATGCGATTCAAAGCAACTTTATAAGGCTGGCAATACTGAAAGAGAAATGCGGTGGCAATATAACAAGCACACCTCAATTGGGAACTGACTTGGTAGCACACAGCTCACTTCCACTACCAAAGGTAACAATCCCTCAATTCAATGGGGTTTGTCTGAAGTGGCGTCAGTTCTATGAACTCTTTCTGGAAATGGTGGACAAGCAGCATCTTCCCAATGTCCAAAAGATGTGGTACTTAAAAACAAATTTGTCGGGCGAAGCTGGAAATCTCATAAGCCACTTAGCCTTGACAGAGGACAACTACGCAACTGCATGGATGTTGCTCCAAGAACGGTACAATAACGAACGGGTTCTTGTTTCAACATTGGTAGAACGTATTCTGAACCAGCCAACAGGGACCTCATCAACCGCTTCTATCAAAGCTTTGCATGATACGACGAGGGAATGTATGCTAGCCCTGAACAACCTGGACGTTGACACTTCGTCGTGGGACGCGCTATTGATCCAATTGATTACGAAGAAGTTGGATCATGCGTTGTACATACGGTTTATGCAATCGTTAAAAAAGCCGATGGAGGTCCCTTCCATGAAAGAACTGTTTGCATTTTTGGAATCGGTGGAATCGATTGGGAAAGTGGCAACTGCTCGCAAAGGTTCAAGCAAAGCTGTTTCGTCCATAACATCAATGGAGAATCACAGTAATTGCAAGCTATGCAAAAATGGTCAACATCGTCTTTATCAGTGTAAGCAATTCTTGGCGATGTCGGAATCTGAAAGACTCCAATGGGTACAACATAAAATGTGCGTGAACTGTTTTAAGGCTGATCATATAGCGAAAAACTGCACATCTGGAAACTGCAAGAAATGTAATAATAAACACAATACGTTGTTACCTTTATCAAGGAGAATTTTAAGGACTGTGTCAGTTCAAATGTATGTGTTTGAACTGAATCCAACTAGGTCCGATTTATATTAACACCATTGTTGTTGCTATTTCTTTTGCTATGTGTCATAAATGCTTGGTTGGAACATTCATCTCTCACATTTGCTGATGATTTTCGTCTTTCGCTTTCCTCTGACAATTTTACCGTCAATGCCCACAGCTTAGGTAAATCATCCCGCGATTCCAACGCAATCACAAAGTTTTCAAACGACACTGGCAAACTGGCGACAATAATTATGACTAACAGTTCTTCAGCTAACTATATACCTGTCTGATGCAACTCATCCACGACTGACGTGGATTCATTCATACGCATGCCTAGCAACTGCTTGAAAAACGACACTTTTCTTACTGGCCCTTTTGGTCGATGTACCTGACTTTATGTAAGATAGCTGGATAGGAGTAGCGCTCAGTATAATCGTTGCCATCGCTTTCTCGTCTTTTTTTCCACTCTGCACTTCTCTCGGCATTATCTCGGAAGCTAATTCCCAAAGATCTTGGTGGATAAGAACGACTTTCATCTGCGTACGTCATGACTCGTAATTGTCTTCTGCTAATTTCTCTATGCTGAACATTGAGGACATTTTGTTCCGAGTTTATAATCGACACTCGTTTCAAATAAAGTGACACACAGTCACTGGCGCACAAAATGTTTTGGAACTTCAATGTTCTTTTTTCTAAGCATTTCAAATAAACAATCAATCACACAGATTGATATTTACTCGCTATTGTCTTTCCGTTTTCCAATGCGTTGTCCTGTAGATTATCCTGGTCACCAAATTATCAAATTTTATTTTTTCCAATACGATGTTTCAGTGCGTTGTCCTTAGAGTGATCCTGGGCCCATAACCTGTTGAATATTTTATGCGTATTGTCTGCAAATGTTTCTTCAAATGAAAGACGACTGTTGCTGTTGAGTGCTTTATTACGAGTGAAACTTTTTTCTACTTACACATTACACATGAAACCTTAACGCTTAGAACTAATCTATCTACAAGGGTGTACTCTACGTGTGTTGTATCGATCGTGGAGATACTAGTATTTCAACAAAATATAATTACAAATGTATTTTAATTAATAATTAAATCATATATAGGAATTGCTTAAAGTGTCATTATTATTGAAAATTTTAAAAATATTTGAATGAAGTTAATTATCAAAATGTTCATCTATATACAATTTTCAAAAAAATAAAATCCGTTAAAAATTCTGTTAAAATCTTAAAAATACCGTAATAGGCTCTATACGACGTAGACCTGCATAGGCAACTTTTGTCGTAGGCCATAACAATATTCAAAAGCGAAACTTGAAAAAATGTGCTGAATAATGTAGCTAAAATCATCAAAATACCAAATATAGTGGGTGCCGTTATTAGGGGTGGTCTATACGAAGACGTGGACCTGCACAGACAATTTTCTGTCACAGGTTGTAGTACCCAATACGAACTTCAAATACCAAATTTCAAATAATTCCGGTCGAATATCAGGAGGTACCGTTTTATGGGGGATATACGAAGACGTGGACATACACAGACTATTTTCTGTCTTAGGCTAATGGAATCGGAATTTCAAATACCAAATTTTAAATAATTCCGGTCAATAAAGTCGCTAAAATCATCGAAAAAAATGCACAGTCAGTTTTCTTTCAAAGACTTTAGTATATATTACAAACTTCAAATACCAAATTTAAAACAATTCCCGTGAATAATGTCGCTAAAATCATCAAAATATCGGATATCGCGAGGTAACGTTATATGAGGGCTATACAAAGACGTGGACCCGCACAGACAATTTTCTGAGAATAGGGAACTACCATTATACCAGAGAGACTTTCTACTGAATGTCACCTGATATACAGGGTGCAACAAAGTCAAACGCCATAATTTTTACATTTTTTTTAATTTGATTGAATGAAAGCGAAAAATGTCGGAAATAGCATCAAATTTTAGAATAAGTTTAGATTTGTTCGAATTGGTCACCTTTGGCACGAATTATGGGCAATGAAACCATCACACGCTGCCC